AATAGCGTTGAGGCCTAAGAATTAGCAAAAAATTAGAAACTCGAACCCGGTCACCGACCGGGTCTTAAGAGCTAGTACTAATAACTATTTTTAAAATAATGTCACGGCCGATGTTGAAAATTTGGGGCCCGATTTGAAATATAAACCCTGTAAAATCCACATATATTATCAATTCTAATCCTAAATCCCAACCCATCTAAAAAAAGAATAAAAATTTTTTAAATTTCATATCAAAATAGGCCCAAATTCCAGCATTAGCCAATTATGCTAAATTTTATGCTAGCAAACATATATTCTGCTGTTAGCATAATTATTATAGCAACTTGAATTATGCTAAATTATGCTAGCATCATAATCCTTGATACCCTACATAATGGGTAAGTAATAGAGATAATGTACATATATTTACTAAAATCTACATTATTTATACAGTATGTACTTTCACCTTCATATATTCATATTAAATTTTATTGTGCATATCATAAATCATAACTATAGATCTTAATCGTAGATAATAATAATAGATCTTAGTCATATATCATAATCATAGACATAATATCTTAAATGTTATTTTTTCATACTCTAAAATAAACTGAATGTTATTTTTTTTTTTATACTCTAAATAAATAGAATGTTATTTTTTTCATACTCTAAAATAAATAGAATCAATTTGTTTCGTTTCGACGTTTTTTACGTTGTTTTTGTCTGACGACACGTTCAGTTGTATTATTAGAGTATTTTCTTATATCCATTTCTTTTTCTCTCTTAATTTCGGAAGCGTATAACTTTCTTCCCCAAAATTCAGAAAGATAATTCTGAAATATGGAGATCGGTTCGCTTCGATTATCAAACATTGATTGTAACTTTTGTTCCCATTCTTTTAGTATGCAACGTTTTGTTCTTTTCTTAGTACGTGAAGGTGATACTATGTCATATTGATTAGTTTCACCATCAGTGATTTGCATGGGTAATGGGAAAGTAATTTCTAAGTTAAACAAGCTAGGTAAATAATGGCCAAATAATGTTCCAAGGATTTCTATGCTGAAGCATTGCGAAATTAAATCCAAATGAGAAGGTCGGAAAAAATTTTTGGCATTACAATAAACCTTAAAAATGTTACACGTCTCTTTAAATGCATATTGACTCATGCCAATTGGGATGTTGAGATCAGGAGTCAATTTAAGTTGCTGATCGATGCTAACACGAATTAAAAGGATGCTTTCAAAACAGAGAGCTGTTATTTGTGCATCTGTACCAAACTTCGTCAATACCCAATAATAAAACTTTGGTGACAGAACAAGTGGTTTAACAAAATCAGCGTTGTCTGAATCATTATAATAATGATCAATTGCTTTGTTAAAAGCGGTTTGAGGGTCAAGTAGGAGTCTATAGAAGAAATTCCAAACATTAAATGTTTTTAAATTGCTATCTAATTTAATTGTTTCAATCAAGCAATAAAGTAAGAAATTTTCGCGTAATTCATTTCTTGTTTCCATAAATGAATCAACTAAAGTTTCACCAATTTCTTCTATACGATTTTCAAAGAGATGTAA